AACTGACAGTTAAATGCAAACCATACTAGAATTAGGTGTTATTATTACAATAACACATGCATTATCCTTTTGTTTCTTAGAATTGATTAAAAGTTTCTCTGTGTCGTACTGACAATGAATCAACTAAATACGAGTACGTTTTTTCCTAACATTGTATGCTTTGAGGATCATTGAATGCCCACGCTTTTGATCAATTAATGATATTGTATTCACGTTAAACATAGATTGCAATTAGTTGAAATCAGTGCCAACTACGATAAGGTAACTTTTGTAACTGCAAGGACGTAAACAAGGCTTGCAGATATTTAAAAATACCTTTTTCTGGCTTAACCACTTATGCAATCAAAATCTTATAAGAGACAAAAACGGTTTAGAACTAAATGGGCTATTCAGAAATTATAATAATGTAATTGTCGCCTGGCCAGAAAGAAAATATGGGGTAATATCCGGTGAACACATGACTTTTCCATCATTCCTGTGTTTCTAAAAGTATATCAAAACCATAAAAAGACGTTAATTGAACCTAGGAACTCACTTCTGAAAAATCGTTCCAAATTTCCAGAACGTGGAGCTCATGGGTACAATTTTGGTGTTTCGCATATAACAATAGTGTTCATACTGAAACGAAATACACCCCATACGAGTTAGTTTTTGGGAAAAAATGTAGCTTACCCAACAATATATTGCATAATTTAGATCCGATTTACAATTTTGAAAGTTATCCAAACGAATTGAAGTTTAGGCTTCAAAAAGCGTGGGTTGACGAGAAAGAAAATTTAGTTGAGTCAAAACTGAAACGCAAAATGAACCTTGATATTAAGAGTTCGAACGTTAATTTCAAGTTTAATGATAAGGTGCTGTTAAGAAATGAAAGCGACAATAAATTAGAACCATTATATAAGGAACCTTATAAGGTAATTAGTGAAAAAGCGCCTAACGTTACGTTAAAAATAGATAATAAGTTAATAGAAGTACATAAAAATAGAGTTAAACGTTATTATATGTAAAATAAAAAAAAAAAAAAAGGAAAAGGGATAATCTAAGTTATTTTAAGTAGCTGCATAATTGTAAAAAAAAAAAAAATTAAATTATGCCACTTCAATTTTTTTCTTGAAGGGGAAAGGTGCAAAGGAAGCACATTCCCATTTTATAAAACAATTAAAGTTAATGTGGTAATGTGATGAATTGTGCTTATTGGACAATTATTACAAATAGTCATTAATTATTGTTAAGTCAACATGTAAACGTCGTACCAATTAATAAAATATAATAAATATTTTACTTTGAGTTTCATATAAAAACACTTCTAAAATTCATAAATAAAGAGGGTTTATTACATGGCGACCCTGCCAGTCGATATCGTCTAGAATTAAAAGAAAAAATATATATTGATATACATTATGGGTTACAACCAGAGTAAAGAAGAGAAAGAAGTAATTATCTCGCAAGCTGGAAATAGTGGTGGTGTATCAGCGTCAAATGGACATTACACATTGCAAGAATTAGCGATCATCATAGAGATTGTTTTGGCCATCGTTTTCGTAGCTTACATTACACAAAAGCGATATAAGAAAAGTATGGAGAAGAAAATCCGTGTTGAAGTCGCAAGAAGCCAGGAGTTGTTTAATCTTAGAACAGAAAACTAAGGTAGGCGAACTATTATAATGTGTTATGGAAGATTTTGAAACGTTGTTAGTAGTAGTTTCTACTTTTAAATCGAATAGAATTAAGGATAATAAAGAAAGACGTAGTGATTTAGATAGAGTACGTAAACATTTAGATAAAGTAGATGAGTTTTGGAAACAATTAGCAGAGTTAAAAATTATAGCTAGTAAAGATAGTTCAAATATAAAACTTGTTGAGCAGATTAAAATACGTAGTGCAGCAATCGAAGGTATTTTGAATGAAACACGTGAACTGTTAGAAAATAGGTTAGCGATAGGATCAGAAATGGCTGAATCTTTTAACTTAAAAACTGCTGGTAGTTTACTGCCAATTATGACTGAAAACGAAGATACAACAAAGCAGTTAATAGACTCAATTAAATTATATTCCGAATTTCTAAAAGCTGAAGATCAAAAACACTTAATAAATTTTGTTTTAAAAACTAGACTGTCGGAATCTGCTAAAATAAGGTTAAATAAATCATATGCTAACGTGCAACTTTTATTAAATGACTTAAGACAAAATTTTATTACTCAACAATCTCCTACTGTATTGGCGAGTAAGTTACACAATTCCCGACAACTGGATCGTTCAGTTGAAGAGTATGGCAGAGAAATAGAGCAATTGCTTGGTGATTTAACGTTGGTTCAAGCAGATGGTAACGATGACCTTGTAAATTCTTTGCGAATAGTTAACGAAAAATTAGCAATTCATTCTTTTAGTAACGGCCTTAAAAATCATGATGTAAAAATGATTGTTAAGGCTAGAAATTGTTCTACTCTCAAAGAAGCTATTAGCGTAACTAAGGACGAGGATAAATTTAAACCTTCCTCATCAAATGTTTTCTCATACAATAAAACAAGACCACCACAAAGAAACAATTTCAGAGGTAGTCGAAATCAATATTATCGTGGATTTGGTAATCAAAGATATCAAAGAGGAAATCAGTCACACAATGATCGAAATTATAATGTACACAATAAATCATATTCAAATTCGAGATATAATAATTATTATTCGCGAGGTCAACCACAAGGGCGTAATAATTTTCGTGGTAGATTTACCAATAGGGGTAACACGACTCCTAACCGAGGAAGAGCACAAAATGTGTTCTATACCGAGAGTGAAGAGCACAACACCGAGAGCGAAAATTCGCAACATATAAATACGTTTTTTCGAGAATGAACGGGAAAATACTATAATTTTAAGTATGGATGGTATGAATTATGTACGAATGAGATATGGTGTGAATGAATTATTATTTCTTTTTGACACTGGCGCAAGTGTCAGCGTAATTTTTTTAAATGTTTTAAAGAAAACTGAATTTATTGATAAAAATAAAAAAGTCATTATAAACGGTATAGCTGGTTCAACAAAATCATTAATCAGCAAATATTTCTTTAAAATTGAATAATGTTAAATTTATTCACGAGTTTTTAATTATGAAAGACTTTATGAGTGGTATAAATGGAATAATTGGATCAGATTTCTTTTTGAAACACAATGCTTGCATCGATTATGAAAAATTTACATTTTCGATTAATTTGGAAGGACAAAAAGTTATTATTCCGTTAGAATCAAAATATGACAGTTACGTTACAATTCCCCCGCGGTGTGAAATTATTAAATATTTTTGGACAAGCGGTTCCGATGATTGCGCAGTTTCATCTGAAGAAATTTCGGACGGTGTTTTTACTGCGAGTACTATCGTTAGACCAAAATCACATTTAATTCCCGTACGATTATTAAACACAAATGATAGACAAATTAAAATAAAAAATTTTAGACCAAACACTTTTAAATTAGAGAATTTTCATATGTACACTATAGATAGAAATCAAAATTCTTTGAATCGCGTTGATAAATTACTAAAATTAATTAATTTACAAGATATGAATAAGCAAGAGACAGATAGTATTCATAAAATCTGTGCAAAATATGCGGATGTGTTTCTTTTAGAGAATGATTCGGTAACTGTTACGAATGTAATGAAAGAAAAAATTGTATTAAAACAAAACGCTCAACCAATCTATGTGAAACCATATCGTTTGCCTCATTTTCAAAAGACAGAAATTGATAAGCAGATTGATAAAATGTTAAATGATGGTATCATTGAAGAAGCCAAATCTAGTTGGTCTTCTCCAATTTTGATAGTGCCTAAGAAAACCAACGGCGAAAATAAAAAATGGCGACTTGTTATAGATTATAGATCTCTAAACAAAAATGTTGAAGATGATAGATTTCCGTTAGCAAATATTTCAGAAATTTTAGATTCATTGTCTGGTGCATTTTACTTTTCTCACCTAGACTTATAACAGGGTTATTATCAAGTAGAATTAGATGTGGAAAGTAGAAATTGTACAGCTTTTACGACACGTAAAGGACAGTTTCGAATGACAAGACTACCGATGGGTTTAAAAACCAGCCCTAGCTCTTTTTCAAGAGTAATGACCGTAGCAATGTCAGGTTTGAACTTTGAATCGTGTTTTATATACTTAGATGACTTGATTGTTTTTGGTAAAGATTTGCAAAACCATAACGAAAATTTAATTAAAGTTCTACAAAGATTAAGGGAAACCAATTTAAAATTAAATCCATTAAAATGTTCATTTAAAAAAAAAGAAATATTGTACTTAGGTCATAAAATTTCATCAGTTGGCATATCTCCTGATTCAAGCAAAATTAATAATGTACAAAATTACCCAATTCCGAAAAATGCAGACGAAGTAAAACGATTTGTTGCTTTCGCTAATTATTATCGAAAGTTTATTAGAAATTTTGCCGAAATTGCAACTCCTTTAAATAAACTTGCTAGAAAATCTATTCAATTTGAGTGGAATGAAAATTGTCAAAAGGCATTCGAATTATTGAAAGAAAAATTATGTAATCCACCCGTGTTACAATGTCCAGATTTTCATGGGTGATATTGACTCATTCACGCATTTCGGAGAGACCTGTATACTCTATTCTACTTCTCGAGAAAAAAAAATTAAACCAAAATTTTTTGCCATTTTTGGAGGGGCGTAGCTCCTTAGGGGAGCCGAAGTCGCCCATGATTCAGTACCCTTAAAATTCACTAAAGAATCATCCCTCCCTTGAAGTTTGTTGCAGTCATTCAAATACACGCTGTAGAATTGTAGGAATTGTAGAGACTCCCACTTTATCCACTGGTTCTACTCATGTGGTACTTATATTTTCTCATAGATGTCGCAAATAAACATTTTTAAAAACACGTCTTATTAAACAAAATTAAATATATTTATTAACAATTCCCATCTAATAAATACTAAAATTTAATTATTTACCTTCTTATTTAATAAAAACATCCGATTTATACTAAATATAAGAAACAACATAGTAAACTTAAACATAACCTTAAATTGTCAAAAAACTAACCCACCAACTCAACCAGATTCCAAAGTCCAACGTTCATTATATCTTAGGTCCCAATTCCACATTATTGCTTATTTATTTCCAATTACCTAACGTTTCCTTAAGTTTAAGTGAAAATGGCTCGCGTTTTAGTTGGTGTTAAAAGAGTAATTGATTATGCAGTTAAGGTAAAAAACTACTTCTTTAATAAAACTTTTTTTTCTTAAACATATATTAATATGTAGATTCGCGTTAAACCAGACAAGACTGGCGTCGTTACTGATGGCGTTAAACACTCAATGAACCCATTTGATGAAATTGCAGTAGAGGAAGCTGTTCGAATGAAAGAGAAAAAGATTGCTTCGGAAATCATTGCTGTTTCATGTGGACCAGCTCAATCACAGGAAGTTATAAGAACCGCACTTGCTATGGGTGTTGATAAAGGTATTCATGTTGAAATAAGTGGAGCTGAGTATGAAACGTTGCAACCACTTCACGTTTCAAAGATTCTTGCAAAAATTGCTGAGAAAGAGAAAGTAGATTTTGTTATCGTTGGGAAACAGGTAACAATTTTTTTTTTAATTATAAGAATTAAAATAATTTTGGTTTGTATTTAGGCTATTGATGATGATTCTAATCAAACTGCTCAAATGACTGCTGCTCTTTTAGATTGGCCCCAAGCAACATTTGCTTCAAAGGTAATTCAATTAATTCATTAATAATCAAATCAACCACTTATTAAATATGGTTTTTGATACTAGATTGAAAAGGGAGATAAGGATATAACTGTTACTAGGGAAGTTGATGGTGGTTTAGAAACAATTAAATGTAAAGTACCAGCTGTAATAAGCGCCGATCTTCGTTTAAATGAACCGAGATATGCTACTTTGCCAAATATCATGAAAGCTAAAAAGAAACCAATTGCTAAAATGACACCAAAAGATTTAGGTGTTGATGTATCTCCAAGGATTAAAGTTGTAAGTGTTGAAGATCCTCCTGTACGCCAACCAGGTGTTGTTCTTCCTGATGTTGATGCCCTGGTTGGAAAACTGAAAGAAGGTGGATTTGCTTGAAGGTTTGCTAAATAAAATAATCAATTAACGCAATCATAAAAAGTGTGTTCTAGATCTTTGTTATTGTGGTCATTGTTAAATGTGAAGGAAATATTTTTATATTGATACCTTTGCTCTTTAAAGAAATCTAATGTAATTTTATAAAAAAAAGGTTTTTATAAACTTTTTAACACCTATTATTTATTTTCTTTTAATAAAAACAAACAGCCCAATTTTATATTCCCTGATACTTCTTTCTACAGGATAATATAATAAGTTTCTTGCAATTATTTACAACACATTATTTACACAATTTCATGAATGTATTGAAAAGAAAATTTGTAATTCTTCAATAGTGAATTACTATGATTTAACCCAATTTATCTTAGTCCAATTACACAGGGCAACACTGATTCTGTGGCTGGGGTTTATGAGTCAATTTTAAGTAATTTTAGTCTCCTGAATACGAAAATAATATTTCTGTTAAATTGACTACTTTTTAAGATAAAGGCAACCCATTTATACTGGGAATTAAATTTTAAAACGAGGAGAGCTTGTATGTATGGATTGGGGAGTGCATGAAAAACCGCACGCCACACCTAGGCCCCTTTTGCATCCTCCCATTACACACTCTGGTCACATCAACCAGCCTAAGGATTTACCAAAGACTAGGACAGCTCCTAGAGGTGCATTCCTGATATCATCTGTGGTTGGCCATTCCTCCCTGACGGTCCTCATTCTGAGGTTGGTCAGAAAGGGACAATCACACAAGATGTGTTTAACCGTCTCGTCATCCTGTTCACAAGCTCGACAAAGAGGGGAGTCGGCAAGCTTCATGTTTTGAATTTACTTTACAGTGTCCCGTGAGGAGACCTGTGGCAGTGCGAAGGGCACTTTTACCAAGCCCTACGAAGAACTGGGCTGTTGCGGCTGAAGAATATTTTAACAATTCCTTGGCGAGATGACAGCCCGGGGTATGGTCTCACCCGTTTAAAACTTTTTTGTGGGTAATGCGCTTGATTAACTCGATATGAGTAGCTAATGAAGGGGTAATTATCGACTCGGGTGCACAGGACGCTCTACCAGCAGCACGTTTGGCTAGCCTGTCCGCGTGGTTGTTACCCTTGGAGCCGGAATACCCCTTAATCCACTGAATTCTGACACGATTGTATTTCGCGGCAGCCTCCACTTAAAGCTAAAAAATAACTGCATTATAATAACTCTGCTTAAAGCTAAAAGAGATTGTTTACTGTCTGTAAAAATAGTAAAACACTTACCCCGCTTGTTGGATTTAACAATGCAGTCAACAGCAAGTTTAATAGCAGTTAGTTCCGCTTGTATGACGGTGGTGCTAGACCCTAAAGGTTCCGAGAGGCGAATCGGGGGATCGTGAGAGAATACCCCCGCGCCTGCACCATTTCGTCCTGTTGAACCATCAGTGTAGATCTTAAAAGTTCTTCGTACATCTTTCACTATCACTGGAAATGTGGAATCAAGAAACAGAACTACGGTATTAGCTAGCGTTGAGGTAAATCCTCAAGTTAGCACTCGACGACTTGCAATTGACGCCGGAATATCGAAGACTAGCATTTTTAGAATATTAAAGCGGAACAAATATCACCCATACCACATTTCATTGCATCAACAGCTTTATGGAGGTGATTTAGAAAATCGATTAATATATTGTCAATGGGCACAAGAACGAATGCGGTTGGACGTCAATTTCGCGGTAACGTGCTATTCTCAGATGAGTCTACTTTTACAAACAAAGGATAAGTCAATAGACATAACATGCACAATTGGAGCGTTGAAAATACGAGATGGTTGCGTGAAGTAGAACATCAACAACCTTGGTCGGTTAATGTTTGGTGTTGCATAATTGGTGATAAATTGATTGGTCCATACTTTATTGATGGTATGCTGAATGGGGAGAAGTACCGAAATTTTTTAGATGACGTCTTACCAACGTTACTTGTAGATTTGGGCAGGGAACAAAGACAAAATATGTGGCTGCAACATGATGGGTGTCCAGAACATTTTTCACATGTTGCACGTGAAGCTTTAGATCGGGAGGTCTAATTTCCTGACGTGCCAGATCACCTGATTTAACACCTCTGGATTTTTTTTGTGGGGCGTCCTTAAGGATAATGTTTATCGCGAAGTACCGACTAACCCAAAAAACGTGAAAGAGTGAATAAGAAATGCATGCAGAAATAGTAGCCAAGAAAACCTTTTAAGATGTAAAGAAAGTTTTAGTAGAAGGGTTAATAAATGTATTGAAGTGGGTGGGGAAATATTTGTACATTTATTATAAATTTTATACTTGTTGTTGATTAATAGTATAATTTAATCAATTTTTTATAAACAAACAATATTTAAAACTATTTGAATAAAACTATACAACCAATTAAGTCTCTGAAAGTGATATTCTGAAAATGCCGACATAAGCAGTTCCACGAAATCTTGTTTTTTATGCGTTATTCTATTGTCAAATTGACAAAGGTGGAGAAATGGCGGAACCTTTTAGACCTCTTTTCAAAGGTATTTCCGACGAGCCAGGTCACCCGATGTAGAGTTCTGTTCAGATATAATGCGAAAAGAGCCGCTCGTAGAGGCATAAAATTGTACTAGAAACGACCTATATTCACGAGGCATTCAATCCAGGTTTTACCTGCTCTGTAGTGTAGTAAAAGTTCCGAACAGGCAAGCGGGGTGATGTGATTTATGGCCAAGATGACTGAATCACAAAGAAAAATTAAGAAAATAAATAAGTATAAGCAATCCATTTACTTTACACAATTCCTGTAGTAAATGAAAATAATTACTAATAATTACTGTATTACTTTGGTAATACAGTGGAACGATGAGTCGAACCTCATAAGAAATGAAAATTATATATTGATAGTAAATTATATATAAACTATATATTGAAATATATCGATAACCATTTTAATATAATAAAATCAAAAATCAATATAATAAAATATAGTACTCCTATATAACAAAAAATATAATATATTATTATACATATGAAATATAATAAATATTATAATAATCTAATTGGGGAGAATTTTATAAGGTCCATTATACCATCAAATATTATCAGTATTTTGAATAATACCCATTATTCTGTATGCAACATTGCAATCTGGTGAACATCGAATTTACTACTCTTTCGCATACATCCTTGCCCTGAAACAATTCTCACACAACTGTAATGTTGCGGCGCAGATTATCCACGTTGCGAATCGAAAAGTTGGCATTTTTATTGAGCTGTTTTTCCACCAAAGCCCATAGATTTTCAATTGGGTTAAGATCAGGTGACCGCGCTGGCCAGGGTATTCGCTTAACCTCATTATGATCCTCAAACCAATCATGAACCATTCTTGAAGAATGCACGGGTGAATTATCTTGGGCAATAGTGGTGATCCTGTCTGGATACAAGGTTCTTAGTGATGGCATCAAAACATCCTCCAACACTCGAATGTATTCAATCGAATTAAATCCTTGATAATTATGGACGTTGTAAATGGATTGGCGGTGACGTACTCAGCAATTCCCCTTCGTTAAGCATTACTAAGAATAAGCCTTCGGCCTGACCTAGATGTTGTAATGCCAACTTTCCCGTTTTCTTCAAATCTTACTGATAAGCCTACACGTTCGTCAATTTCCCGTTTATCTATTCCTTCTTGATGACGTGCAATAATTGCTCGCCTCGTAGTCAAACCTGACTTTCGTTGACCAGGAACACGAGGCATGTTGTATTTAAGAAAACGGACAAATTTGAATGCACGTAATTTTGATATTGAATAATTCTTGTAAAAAACTCTAGAAGACCACAACGAGTAAAATTTATTTAATTTTTTCAATCAGCGCGGCATATGTTTCGCTTACTAAACGTCTTCAGGTGCAACTACAAAGTAGTAAAAAATAAAACAATAAAAACTATAGTAAATCGGCGACAACACTAACAAATGTAACTTAAATCTAAGAACTCTGAATCTTACCATCAATTAATCGAACAATGTTGTTATAATCATAGAAATCCTAGTCATACATGTCGGTGAGTCCATCTAAATTAGTTACAGTTGAAATAATTATATGAAAATACGACATCGACTAAATCCTGCAACGTGTTAAACTACGTGGAGTAAGTCAAGGAAAAACCCTTGACCTTGGATGTAGGGGGAAAAATACTCTTCAGTAAATTTTCAATTATAAAACTGAAAGTTATCACGTTATCAGATACATAAAATATTAACTTAAAACAAATAATACATCCAACACTCTAAACTTACAGCAATGATAAAAACTAATTATCGTAGTATTAACGGCGCGCACAACTTATAGGTTAAAACAGTCTAAAACTAGTTACAAACGAATCGAGGGATGAGTGACAAACAAAGAAAGCAAACTTTGTCGTTTAAAAATGTGAGAATCAAAAAACCAAACTACATAAACTTCGAAAACAATCTATTACCACTGAAAGCGGTAAATTCATTTAAAACAGATTCAGGGTCGGCTCCTAGATGTGATTTAATATTCTTCATATAAATCCATTCTTTTAGATTTATTGATATGTTTCAGCAACGTCATATTGTTAATGTCAATTTCATGATTACTCTCCTTTATGTGTTTATAAACTGTGGATTCTGTTCTTTTTAGGTGTTCTTTAAATCTCACATCCAAACTCCGCCCCGTCTGTCCTATATACACTTTGTTGCAATTATTACATGAAATTTTATAAATGCCGCTTTTTTGATTTTTTTGAATCTATGCTTGTTATTGACTAAAATGTGAGCAAGCTTATTGCCTGTTGTATATAGCGGATCAACATTATATTTATTAAAGATTTTAGATATTTTACCGTGAAGGTGTGGGAGATATGGTAAGGAGATGTATGAGTTATTCCTTGTGACGTGAGGGTAGATTAGTTTATTTATTTTTGAATTATGTATTTTTAGGTATTGTAACGAAGTTACATTTTGTTTATTTTCCGAAAAATTTATAACATCCGAATATACTTCCCACATTACCCCGACCTCCTACAGTTTCCGCCCGATTTAGAGAAATCCAAAAATTGATACCCTATTACCACCCACTTATGCAACTTTATTCGCATTTTCCTTAATTTCTTAATTTCCTTAATTAAACTTCAAATTTTCATGTTAAATCATTTAAAACCGTTAAACCTTTTTCC